TAATTGACTGTCATCGTAACGAACGAGGGAAATGACTGTGGACAACGCTGCGGAAGGTTCCCTCAATTTGGAGCGGTGTCGACGCCTGGGCTGCTGCCGACGGCCAAGGTCTAGGGTCAATCACCATCAGTCACACCCAGATACACATGACATCACCTTATTTCCCTTGCACTACACAACCACATGCGACCTGACCGACTCCGGAGGGACCAGTCGCCTTGGATATAGGTAAGTAAGCTCCGTCTAATATCCTCCCGGTCGACTGACCGTAGTATAGACGCTCCCGTGGCCATATTGAGGCCCGACCTACGACTGCTCGTGAAGTCTTCTGCTCATGGGCCCCAGAGGATTTGATCCTTTAAGGGAGCAGCCGTAGGCCGTAACAGCATGGACAGTTTCCACGAGCTTGTCATTCATATCGTCCACTTCATTGCAGTCTTCCAGGCACTGAAAACGATTTTGTAACTCGAGCTGAAAAGTTTCGGGACTTTGGAACAGAGCACGAGGGGGACGGAGGGTTGACTTCATTAGACGGGACCTCTCCAACTTAACGTTTAGGTTCAGTGTGCCTCTAACCATTCGGTGATCGCTACCAGTTTTCACCCTCGCGATCACGGAGACATCACTGAACAGTTGTCGTCTGGTCTTCATAAGCCGATAGTGCTGTCGAAATGCAAATCCAAGATGGCGGCTGCAAAAGGTATCAATTTTTTCATCATGGGTGTCATTTTCATGGTTTTCGAGAGAGTAAAAGCCGATAGGGTTGTCGAAATGTAAATAAAAGATGGCGTCTGCAAAGGATATCAATTTTTTCATCATGGGTGTCATTTTCACGGTTTTCGAAGGTGTCGAAGCCGATAGTGTTGTCGAAATGTATTTAAACTACTTTAAAAAAATCCATATAATCATGTTATACGTAATTTTTTTACTGCGCTTAAGACATGCCGAATTGAATTTACCAATTTTATTATAAACAATATTAAAAACTATAATAATAATAATAAAAAAAATACTAAAACTAGAAACTTAATTGTCATATAGTCCTACTCCCCGCGGTACTGTGCCAATAACGCTGTCTGCGTTTCCCCGCTGTATGGCTATACTTAGCCTTTGAGCGAAAAAAGAACCAGCCCCCTTATCACCAGCAGCAACGACCAGCCGCAGATGGAGTTCCTTTAGGAACTTCACCGCACGTGGACCCCATGGACCGATAGTCTCTACAGCAAATGGCACAAATATGTAGTCATCTCTCAGAGACTCATATTTGCGCCACTTACTCAGTTTAGCTGCCTCTAATGCCACCCCGGCTCTAAACGAGGTACCTCTGAGATAAGAAGCCGCCAGAGTGTCTACGCAAGTAGCATCGCACACTAGGGCTTTACCTCTCTCCCAAAGGACCAATGTCATACCGTCGGGTGTCCTGTCACTCTCTCTTAATATTCCACAATGCTCTAAAACCGAGAGAACATTTATAGACAAGAGCCCATCGGATGACATCGTTCAAAGAACTGTGTCGTGAAAACCTACCAGCACTTTTATTACATGAAAGTCCGTGGAGCCCAAACTTGTCGACGCTGCTACCACAGGGGCACTGATAGGGTTGACAAATCGCCGCTCCTAGTCGCATTCCTGCGGCAATACGCAAGCTTTCCCCATCAAGTCATGTGTAGAGATTACTTGATGGTAAAGCATGTAAACAGTGACTAGATTCCTTAGTCGAAACAGCTAGAAGGCGGGCCTGATCTTGGTCACTATGGAAATTATGAAACAAATCTTTCTGCACGCCCTGTACCAATGGAATATCCCACTGTTTTTGTTGGTTAACTTGCAGTGGAACATTTTCACCGGGACAGAGCGTTTGCCATGTCTGCCCTGCCTCTGTAGCAAAGCACAGGTCCACTTAATTATTTAAAGTTATGTTACATAAGTCATTGACATCATGCACGGGAGCAAGAAAAGCAGGCAATGCATCGCTAGAAAGATTTCTCACACCAATACCACCAAATTTTATAGGTAAAGTAGCTTGAGTCCAGGCTGTTGTATTGAAAGTTAAATTTAGAATTTTTTCTATAGCTATTTTAAAATTATTATCAATAACTTTTAAAATATCTGAACATTGCCAGACTGGACTCGAGCGGAGTAAGTATGTAAATCTAGGTACAAGGAGACAATATTTTAAAATAGTAAGAGCAATGTGGGGGTTTAATTTATACAATTTATCAACGTGGTTTATAACCTATCAAATTTTGTTTTTAATACAAATTGAATACTATCGAAAAACAATGGGGCACCTAGCAGGTATAGTGATTCCGTATTGACAGTTTTTAATTCCTGGAGAAATATGATTGAAATTTTGAATTAAAGTGTCTCTGTGAGAAGTAGATAAATTATTGGAAAAAAAATATTTCACATTTAATGCTATTTGTTTCAAGACCAATATTTTTTAAATTTCTAAAAATATGAGTAAGATCACTGAGGACAATATCTGCTCTACCTTCCAGTGTACCGTCGTCCAGGTACCAGATATTCAGCTTGGATTACAAATTTGAAATAATGGGTTGAATTCCCAAACTGATAAGTGCTGGACCTAATGGGTCACCCTGCTGAACACCGACAGCAGAATCGATAACATGGTTTTCGTAAAACGAGTTAATATTTTGACTATAACATTGCCAAACGTAATGATAAGTTTCGGGGGTATTTTCAGCCACTTCTTTTAGTGAGATTACCCTATTGATAGAGTTATAAGCATTTCTTGGGTCAACCTTTACAAGAACATATATAAGAAAATAAAAGTCGAATTAAAGTGTAGTAACGCTGCTTATCTATGCGGCTATCTATGCGGCTATCCGAGTACAGAACCAGAGTACGAAACCTATGCAATTGCAGAGAGGTGTAAGACAGGTTGACGTTATATCTCCGAAACTCTTCACCGCTGCATTGGAAGACATTTTCAAGCTTCTGGACTGAAAAGGATACGGTATTAACATCATTGGCGAGTACATCACTCACCTTCGATTTGCCGACAATATAGTCCTTATGGCTAAATCGCTGGAGGACCTAAGCACCATGCTTAATGACCTCAATAGTGTCTCCCAACGAATAGGTCTTAGGATGAACATGGACAAAACAAGGATCATGTTTAATGTCCATGTTACACCTATACCGGTAGTTGTTGGGAGCACTAAGCTCGAAGTTGTTGACGAGTATGTTTACCTGGGACAAATAGTCCGACTAGGTAAGTCCAACTTCGACCGAGAGGTCAATCGACGGATTCAACTCGGCTGGGTAACGTTCGGGAAACTACGACACATCTTCTCGTCAGACATACCTCAAAAACTTTAAAACTAAAATGTTCAACCAGTGCGTGTTGCCAGTGATGACTTACGGATCTGAGTCGTGGTTCTTCACTGCTGGCCGTATGAGAAAGCTCAAGGTCGCTCAGCGAGCTATGGAGAGGGCTATGATCGAGGTTTCTCTGCGTGATAAACTTAGAAATGAGTATATCCGCAGTAAAACCAGTGTAAACGACATAGCCCACTGGATTAGTAAGCTGAAGTGGCAGAGGGCCGGCCATACAGCTCGAAGAACCGACAACCGATGGAGAAGAAAGGTTCTTGAGTGGCAGCCTCGTACCGGTAGGCGAAGTGTAGGCGACGCCCCACGAGATGGAGTGACGACCTGGTGAGACATGCAGGAAGTCGATGGATGCAGGTAGCTCAGGACCGTGCTTTGTGGCATTCCTTGGGGGAGGCCTATGTTCAGCAGTGGACTTATGAAAGGCTGTAATGATGATGATGATGATGATGATGAACGCTGCTTAAAGGTTTTAATTTGTGAATTAAACTATTGTATTAGTTAAGATATTCATGTTTATTTATAAAGTTTTTTGTTTTGAGCATGTGTGATAGATATTTAAGATACAACTTTAAAAATGTCATGTAAAATTGGTGTATTTTGTGGATATCTTTATGTGATACAGATGTTGTTTAATATTAAGTAATTTTGTTTATCTAGTGAATAATAGATGGCGCCACTATTGTTTTAAGGCACACTATGGTTGCGTTATTGTTAATCTTGTAAGTTAATGAGAAATAGTTGTTATCGTGTGGTATTCGTACACACTGTATACTTTTTAAGTAAGGTTTATTTATTAAACAGTGTAGTGATAAAGTTGGTGTCTTTCTTTCTCGTAATTCGAGGGATCCATAGTGCTCCTAGTGTTGTACATGGTCCTTACGATCCGGATTTAAACCGGTTTTTTGATAGTTCTGGAGGGAACTTTAAACCCTCCCACACTAGTAGGGGCAGCGGATCGTTGCTCGGTGTGTCCAGCAGAGGTCGACGTGCTGACCGAGGTTTGGCTGCTGTGACGTCACTAGAAGGAGGTGAGAAGAAAGATCGACGACAGAGAAGGCTGTCAGGAACACATCGTACGAAGGCCGAGGCGAGATATATACCCTCGGAACCACAGCACCGCGCGAAATTTGATTGCGGAGGATGTCAACGGCGATAATAAAAATTGCATAAGGAAGAAATCGTGCAGTGAATTGTGCAAGGTGGTATCATACAAAACTGTGAGTACTTTTAGTGTCTTAATAATAAATTTAAATGCCAATTTGAACTTTATTTCTATGAACTGTTTATCTTTGAAAATTTGTGTTAAATTTAACTTCTAATCTTATTTGCATATAAAGTAACATTAACTTAGTGTATAATTTCTTAAAAACGAAGGTACGAGGAACATATGTCCGATTTTGTCAAGTATTTTATTGCAAACACTTAGAAAATTTGTTGAACAGTTTGAGACTTAAATTTTAGTTCTAACTTCTACCTTGTATTGGTTAAATATTAGTTGCAATTTATTAAAGCACTTTATACTTTTATATAATAATTACATAAAAGTATTAGTAATTAGTTAAGTAATTATTACCTTGTAAATATTACTACTATTGTTAAGCTTTGTTAGCATTGTAATTTCTTACATATTATAAATAAAAATGAGTACAGAAAGGGAAAGATTAGCAGAACGTATGGACAACTTAATATTTTGTCAGGAGGATTTAAGTTCTCGCATTAAGAAGGCAGATGTAAACTTTAAAAAGAGTCCAAAGGAACGTATTACTAAGGAATATATAGAATCACGTTTAGAAATGTTAGAGCAACTTTGGCAGGAATTTTTATCAGGACATAAAGAATTAATTAAAATTGTACCCTCAAAGGAATTAACAAAATCGACGTATTTTAAAAATGAAATATATGATAACACAGAGGAGGTTTATTTAGATTACAAAACGATGCTTAGAAGTAATTTATCAGCATTTGCAGATCATACCTTGGGTGCTAATCAATCAAGTACCGATATGGTTATTAGGAATAGTGTCAAATTACCTAAGTCCAATATTCCACAATTTTCTGGCAAATACTCTGAGTGGACTACGTTTAGAGATTTGTTTAGATCTTTAATTCATTCAAATTGTGATTTAGATAATGTCCAAAGGTTGCAATATTTAAAAGGGCTTCTAATTGGCGAGGCGGAACGTCTTTTGAAACATATTCCAATAACAAGTGATAATTATGAAAGAAGTTGGGCTTTGTTAGAAGATAGGTACAACAACAAAAGATTTATTTGTCATCAAATTATAAAGCGGCTGTTAAGTCAACGTAATATTTTAAGCGAATCTGCTAATAGTCTAAAGGATATAATTGATACAACTAATGATTGTTTAGCCTCACTTGCTAATCTTGGTATTAAGACCAGTACGTGGGATGTGCTTATAATATATATTATCACATTAAAACTGGATCCTGAGTCAAGAAGACAGTGGGAATTCTATGTAAGCAATAATGTTCCAAGGGATGATCTACCTAACTACGATCAGTTTCAAGAGTTCCTAACCAATCGGTATAGAGCTATAGAATTCTTGCCTTCCGACTCAAAATCCAACTATAAAGTTTGCCATCCTGTTAAGGTAAATTCTATGCATGCAACTAATATCAGTTGTCCATTCTGTTCGGAGGAGCACAAACTTAGCAATTGTAAAAAGTTTTGCAAAGAGTCGGTTAACGCGCGCCGTAACTTTGTAAAAAATAACCAGGTTTGTTTTTGCTGTCTCGGGAATAATCATTCGGCTAAAATATGTCGCTACCAAATTAAATGTAACGTTTGTAAAAGAAAACATCACAGCCTTTTACATCCAGTAATACAACCAGAACAAAATCAGGATAGTCAAGAAAACACTCAAAATTTAGACACAAAAAATTCTTCTTCGTTTGTTTCATGTATATCTAGAAATAAGATAAGTCAGCATGTACTCTTAGCTACAGCTTTAGTTAAAGTATTATCTAAAACGGGAAACTTACTTACGATAAGAGCACTTCTAGATCAAGGATCTCAATCATCATTTGTTACTGAATCCACAGTACAAATGTTAGGTTTAAAGAAAACTCCCATTAAAGGCACAATTTCAGGAGTAGGTGGAGGTAATAATTTAATCTCCAAGGCCATGGTAAATCTGGAAATAAGATCTCGTATTGATCCAAATGTGGTCATAATTGTGAAGGCATACGTCTTGAAATCTATCACCACTCTTTTACCAGCGACTAATATAGAATCTTTAGAGTGGGATGAGCTCCCTAAAATGACCTTAGCAGACCCAGAATATTATACGTCAAACCGAGTCGACCTATTATTAGGAGCTGAGGTATATAGCCAGATCATCAAAGATGGAGTAAAAAAAGGTCCATATGGTACACCAGTGGCGCAGTCAACGACATTAGGATGGATTTTGTCAGGTACTGTTAACACTTCACGCAATTCTTCTCAAAAAATTCACGTAATGCATTGTCAGGTTCAAGACAACGAAATGTTAAAAAAATTTTGGGAATTAGAAGCTGAAGTTAGTATTCCTAGGCTAAAGTTACTAACAGAAGAGGAAAAGCAATGTGAAAAATTGTTTGCTGAAACAGTGCAAAGAGACGAAGATGGCAGATATATTGTCCGTCTTCCTTTCAACACGTCAACTCCTGAAGTAGGCGATTCGTTGAGAATATCTGAAAAACGATTGCAATCATTAGAAAGAAAATTCAATTATAATAAAGAACTGAAACTTAGATACATAGATGTCATAAATGATTACCTTTATCTAAATCATATGGAGTTAGTGAAGTCACCAGATATCAGCACAAAGGCCATTTATATTCCCCATCATGCGGTTGTTAGGGAGGACAAAGAAACCACAAAGGTAAGAGTGGTTAATGATGCATCATGTAAAGGTTCAAATAATAAGTCATTGAATGACAACTTGATGGTGGGCCCCACCTTACAATCAGATTTAAGACATATGATAATGAGGTGGCGAGCTTTTCCGATATGTCTATCAGCTGACATTATCAAAATGTATCGCCAGGTTAAGGTTCACCCAGAGGATGTCGATTATCAACGAATACTTTGGAGGGAAGATAGTACAGAACAAATAAAACATTACAGAATGTTAAGAGTAATTTTCGGTACTGCATGTGCTCCTTACCTGGCAGTGAAGGTTTTGCAGCAAGTAGCTCTTGATGATGGGGCTGAATATCCATTGGCAGCTACTCGAGTCCTGCAAGATTTCTACATCGACGATTTATTAACGGGCTGTCACAATGTAGAAGAAGGTGTAACTGTCTATAAAGAACTAAGGGAATTGTTAAGCAAAGGGGGATTTCAGTTACAGAAGTGGTCAAGCAACAATGATGAACTACTAGAAAAAATAGCAGAAGGAGATAGGATTAAAGGAGAGGATGCAGAAAAGGGATTAAAGCTAAAAACTGATCCAGTATTGAAAATACTAGGTCTTACCTGGAATCGGAATATTGACTCATTTCAGTACACGGTAACGCTTCCGACGTTAAGAGAACCTGTAACAAAGAGGAAAATTATAGCTGATATTGCGAGATTATTTGACCCTCTCGGATGGATCGCACCAACAATTATTCAAGCAAAGATTATTATACAAAGGTTGTGGTTATCAGGAGTTGATTGGGATGAAGAGGTTCCAAACAATATTTTAAATGAGTGGATAACTTACCGGAAAGAGCTAAAACTCTTAGAAAAAGTAACTATTTCGCGTTGGTTGGGATCTAAAGAAGATGCCACGAGAATAGAGCTGCATGGTTTCTGCGATGCTTCCAAGGTAGCCTATGCAGCAGTGGTATATATGAGAGTCATTAATTCTGATAACAATATAAAGGTCAGTCTGTTGACAGCTAAAACTAAGGTTGCACCAATAAAACAAGTGTCAATTCCAAGGTTAGAGTTATGTGGAGGCGTACTTTTATCAAAATTATTGGTAGAAGTGGGTGACGTGATGAGAATCACAAAGGAAAACTGGTATGCGTGGACAGATTCCTCAGTTGTCCTAGCTTGGATCAACAGTCACCCAAACAAGTGGAAGACCTTTGTGGCAAATAGAGTGTCAACAATTCTTGAATGTCTCGAACCTTACCAATGGTCTCACATACAGTCTAAGCAAAATCCAGCAGATTGTGCTTCTCGAGGCCTTCGGCCGCCTGAATTACTACAATCGTTCTTATGGCAAAATGGTCCTGAATTATTAAAGGAAAAAATAATAACACAAAATAAATTGAAACATTTTGAAACAAATTTAGAAGAAATCAAAGTTTTAATGGTTACAATCGAAGATGAATTTTGGAGTCGATATTCTTCACTCAATAAGTTGCTTCGGGTGATTGCTTATTGTAGGCGATTTTTGGACCTGCTGAAACCGAAGGAAGAAAGGCACATTAATAGAATTTTAACAAAAGATGAAATTAATCAAGCTAGAGAAACTTGTATAAAGGAAAGTCAAAGGGCAAGCTTTACAGAAGAAATCAAAGCATTGAAAAGAAAAGAAAGAATAAAAAGGAGTAGTAAAATACTTACCTTAAATCCATTCTTGGACGCCAAGGGCATTTTAAGAGTAGGTGGGAGGCTTAACAACTCCAACTTCACTGAAGACAAGAAACATCCAATACTGATTCCAAAACTTGGGTTTTTGGCAAGATTATTAATAGACGAGGCTCATAAAAACACTTTACATGGTGGAGCACAATTAATGTTAAGTTACTTACATTCTAAATTTTGGGTAATAGGTGTCAAACCCTTGATTAAGGCACATATTCGCAAATGTACAATTTGCGTAAAAAGCGCTGCATCCGCACAAAATCCACTGATGGGACAGCTTCCTTCTTTTAGAGTCACACCAGAAAGACCATTTAAGAAATCCGGAGTTGATTACGCGGGACCTATCAACATCCGAACCACCAAAGGTCGAGGTTTCCAATCCTATAAAGGATACATTTGTTTATTCGTCTGCATGGCGACCAAAGCTGTTCACATCGAGGCCGTAAGTGATTTAACCTCAAAAGGATTTCTGGCCGCTTTTCGTCGTTTCATTGCTAGGCGAGGTCATTGTACAGATTTGTGGAGCGACAATGGTACAAATTTTGTGGGAGCTTCACGTGAACTGCAATCTTTGTTTAAATCGGAACAATCATATTTAAGAAAGGAGGTAACAGAGAGTTTAGCCTCTACCGGTACCACTTGGCATTTTATCCCTCCTCGTGCTCCACACTTTGGGGGCTTGTGGGAGGCTGCAATTAAGTCAATGAAATTTCATTTAAAAAGAATAATTGGGGATCATACGTTAACATATGAGGAGTTAGCTACGGTGCTTACACAAGTAGAGGCATGCCTGAATTCTAGGCCACTGTCGAGGATAGGGAATTTATCTGATGATTTTCTGACCCCTGGGCACTTTCTAGTAGGAGAACCGTTGGTCACTGTTCCTGATTACAATTATGAGACTTCGAGCATTTCTTCATTAAGGAGGTGGCAGTTAACACAACGTATGTTACAAGGTTTTTGGCGTCGATGGTCGAATGATTACATTAATCAATTACAACAGCGATACCGATGGAAGGACCAAACGCCAGAGCCCAAAGAAGGCGATGTGGTACTCGTTAAAGAAGATGACTTACCGCCTTGTAAATGGCTTCTCGGTATCATTGTAGTGAAACATCCAGGCAAGGATAATATCACTAGAGTCGTCACCTTACGTACGAAAAATTCTTTGCTCAAGCGACCAATTGCTAAGTTATGTGTTCTCCCCACTACTAAATAAATTGTAAAAAAATATATTGTTATGTGTAAATGTTCTACTTAGAAATCTATTTAATGTTCTTTAATTTTGTGTTCTCAGTTTTAAAGTTTTTGTAATTTTATATGTCAAAAAAATGTATTCATGGTGGGCGGAATATTAAAGGACAATTTGACATATTGTCCTTGGTGGGCGGTATGTTTAATATTAAGTAATTTTGTTTATCTAGTGAATAATAGATGGCGCCACTATTGTTTTAAGGCACACTATGGTTGCGTTATTGTTAATCTTGTAAGTTAATGAGAAATAGTTGTTATCGTGTGGTATTCGTACACACTGTATACTTTTTAAGTAAGGTTTATTTATTAAACAGTGTAGTGATAAAGTTGGTGTCTTTCTTTCTCGTAATTCGAGGGATCCATAGTGCTCCTAGTGTTGTACAGATGTAATATATCATAATAATGAGACTTTTGTACGTGTTTTTGCAAGTGAAATTGTGTAACAATGTGTTTTTAAGAAATAAGGATATGGGTTTAAATGTGAGAGTATGATTATGAAAACTAATATCAAATTATGTCGAAACGGCGCGCGGCGCGCGGTTCTCTTTCGCGTATAGCTAACGTATGTACTAGGATAAGAGGCTGGTATTTTGTAAATTTGTTCACAACTACGACCGCACATCGTTGGCGTCTTTCTCGATATAGAGAAGGCGTTTAACAGGGTGTGGCACTTTGGATTACTCTACAAGCTAGATGATCACTAGTATCCCTCCTGCTATGTTGCGGCTAGTGGCGTTATTCCTGGCTGATAGGAAAATCTACGTCTGTGTAGAGGACGCCATGTCCACAGCAAGACCCTTCAGAGCCGGCGTACTAAAGGGCAGCTGTCTGCCTCAAGTCCTGTACGCGGCTCATACCAACGACATCCCAACCCTGGCAGAACACCTGCGCGAGTGAAAGGACGACGTAGAGCTGGTGCTATATGCGGACGATAGCGCCTATTTCACCTCGTTAAGAAGAGCTCACATCGCCACTGCCAGGATGCAAAGACTGTTGGATCTGCTACCACCATGGCTGGATGAGTGGAGGATGACCGTTAACGTTGGTAAGACGATAGCTCTGCTCACTCGCTGCTTCCGAAACCTACCACCGCCACTGACGCTAAGAGACCAGGACATCAGTACGAAAAGGCCATGACATATCTTGGATGCCAGATCGTCAGGATGCTGCGCATGACCGCGCATGTCGCAACGCCAGAGGTGCGCGGGTGGCAATCCATCCCATCCTGGCATCCAAGCTATCTATAAAAATTAAGACGAAAATATACAAACTTTACGTAACAGAAACAGAAACGGAAACTTTTTTATTCAATATAGATTATAGATAATACTTATTGAAAGTCACTCTTTTGTTTAATAACCACTGGTTCGAAAAAAACCTCTGTCCTGGGAAGAACCAGCATGAAACCCAGCAAGACTTTTTTTAAATAAATTTTATAGCTTGGTAGCGATCACCTCATTTCCAGGGGTTATTATCATCCATAAATTCTTCAATATTATAATAACCCTTTTTATAAAAACTTAGTTTAATAAAGCTTTTGAAGTTTGAGCAGGTCAAATTTTGTATATTTCTGGAATTTTGTTGTAAAAGCATATACATCGCTCCAAGAATAAATTACTGACTCGATGGAGTCGAGTAACTGGTACTACTACTAGCTTGTGTCTGTTCTTAGTATTTACTGAATGAATACTACTTATTTTTGTAAAAGCACTTTAATTTTTGTGTACGTACATTACATTTTTACATTTTACATTTCATAAATGTATTGAGAGGCCAAAGTTAATATATTAATATCCTTAATTTTTTGTGGCAGTGACTCTTTAAATCATAAATTGCTCTAATGGCCCTCTTCTGTAAAACAAATATAATTTCAGTGTCAGCTGCGTGTCCCCATAGTAAAATACCATACGACATTATACTATGGAAATAGCTAAAATAAACTAGTCTAGCTGTTTCAACACTGGTAAGACTTCTAATCTTTTTTACAGCATATGCTGCAGAACTTAGTCTGCTTGCTAGTTTTGATATATGGAGGCTCCATTGAAGCTCCGCATCTATTGTGATTCCAAGAAAAATGGTGGTATCTACAAGACTCATTTTCTCCCCATTTAAAATAACATTAGTATTTAATTGTTTGACATTTGTAGTCATGAATTTCATACATTTCGTTTTAGTGCCATTTAAATGCAAATTATTAACATGAAACCAATTTACTAGTTTAGATATAGCATTATTTACTTCGTCATATTTTATTAATCGTCGACTTAATTTTAAAATTAAAGAAGTGTCATCTACAAATAATACTATATCATGGTTATCCCCTACTATGTAAGGTAAGTCATTAATGTACACAAGAATCAAAACGGGGCCGAGAATTGAGCCTTGAGGCACGCTCATTTTTACCATCGACCCGGAAGAGCTCATACTGTTTATGACAACTTTTTACATTCTATTACTTAAATATGAAATAATTAATTTAAGAACATCACTTCTTACACCGTAGTGTTGAAGTTTCCTGATTAATTTTTCATGGTGAACACAATCGAAGGTCTTGGATAGGTCACAAAATATACCCAAAGCATCCTATGAATTCTCCCATGCATTAAAGATATATTTAATCAGCTTAACATCGGCATCAGTGTCGAGCGACCCCTTGTGAAACCAAATTGATTTTTATGAAGTAAATTATTGATATTAAAGGAATTTAACATTTGATCAAGAATAATTTTTTCAAGAATCTTACTAAGTTTTACTAGTACAGAAATAGGTCTAAAATTGGCAGGGTCTAATGTACTACCAGATTTAAATAAGGGTATTACTTTACTATGCTCCATTAAATCAGGAAACATACCAGATTCGATACTAGTATTAAAAATAATAGCTAAATGAGGCGCGATTGTATCTATTATAGACGCAATAACTTTAACAGAAATCCCTCAAAGATCCGCAGTTTTATTAACATCAATAGTTTTAAAATATTTTACAATATCGCAATCATCGCATAGCAAATTCACTAGAAGACACTTTAACTACTCTGCTACATTATTGTATAACAAATTAAACACTGTTTTTAAAACAACACATCTAAGCAATCATAACATTAAGTCATTTTTATTAAAGTGGTTAAGTAATTTTAACTATAACGCACCTGAAAATCTTATTGTTTCCTCTAAATAATACTTATATAATAATATGACGCTTGTATACGCATACACACACACACACACACACACACACACACACACACACACACACATACACACTCATACCCCCCCCCCCCCACACACACTCACACACACATTTTTTATATAATTATTTTTTCCTTTTTTTTACTGTGTTAGTTTTATGTTACTATTTTTTTTTTAATTTTTATTCATTTTAAAATTTTATACAAATTTTATATTGTTTGCTGGTTTGCCACATTACAAATATGTGTCTCTGAAAACGGGGAAGACGCTGTAGCCTGTAATGATTTATGTATGTATAAGTTATATAAGAAACAATAAATATTATTATTATTATTATTATCTTTTGATGACACTTTATGAAATGTAAAATTCTTTGTATACGCATTTACATTTTGTTTAAGTAATGATTCGGTGACGGCAGGAGAAGAATTCAGTGACTTACTGGTTAATATCGGAATATCAGTAAAACATTTCTCAAAAACCATTACAACGTCCTGATCTGATTCAGTTAATTTGTTGTTAACACTTAACTGGTAGTTTGAATTGCGATAGTTGATCTTACCAGTTTCGCCATTAATCACCTATGCTGCTCCAGCCTGGTACGCGCTTCTGAACGATCGACAGAACCGGCGACTGCAGACCCAACAGAAGCTAGCATTAAGGACCATTGTCGGTGCAAGTCGCTACGTCCGTAATGACGTCATAGCGCCCAACCTAAATATAAAAACCATAGAGGAGTTTGTGGTCCGGCTGTCGCGCGGTATGTTTAACCGCACTGACAACGGGCCACACTCCCATTTGAACAACTTTACGCCGCTACACGCTCGCCCCCCGGACGGGCGACCTCTACCAAGAGAACTTCTTCCTATATAGATTAGGGAGTTGAGCAACAACCCACAATGTCACAGATTGAATAACAAAGACATTTAATTCATTTTTATGTAAATGAAAATACAGTCCATTGATGATGGGCGTCAAGACCGGGACCATTACATAGGGACCCGTAATCTTAGTCGTCTAACCTTTCTTCTCAGAAAGGGACAGACGGGCTTTGAGTGACACACCTTCTCAGGGGTCATGCCCACCTCTTTGTTTCCGAACCCAACGTGGATAAAAAGTCAATAATAGGTATGATCTCTGCTACAAGTCAGGTCACTAGAGCCGCTGTAACCCTTTCAATAATAGATGATAAAATTTCAAATTCTAATGTAATAATTTATGGTATAGTGGTGGCATAGGAGACTCGACTACCTTAAATAGTCCCGTGGGTGTTGTAAAAAGTAAGAGAGGGAAACAAACCAGAAGACAGGCAGCACCATGTTCCTGAAAACAAGTCAAGGAAAACAGCGCTTGCCAACCCGTCTGATAAGTGTAGCTGCTAACTACGAAAAATCTCCCTACCCTGAGGTATAGTCCACCCACCTACATCCTTGGCTTAGTCAACTCTTGGTCATTACTATGAAATACGTTAAAGAAAAATTATATAAATATTTAATTTATTTATGCGCCAAGGTGATGACTGTTTTGAGGTTTAGAGTGAGCAATATATTACAACATTTATAGGACTCATTTATGAACTAAAATGTGTAGTTATACGCAACGTATAGTATGTTAACCACTGTAAGACGACCTTGCATAAAATTTAAATTTTGACATTGTTATGGTCAAACTATTTAAATATATATATGCTATATATGCACAAACATAATCATCTACCTGAATCCATTGATTTGATCAAGCTAATTCGACTTTATTTCGAAATAGAATAGGGTGACAA